TAGAATTAATTTAAAAAACTTTTATTGAATTTGATTAAGTTTTTGTTAAGTTATTCTTGTTTAAAATTTTAAAAAAAACTTATTAAAAAATATTTGCTTGGTTTCTATTGACTCAACCCTATATAAAGAACTAATGCAGAAAAAACAAGAAGATACTAGTTGGTATATAAATGTAAAGTTTGAAGGAAATAATAATTACCTTTCTGAACTTATTTGGTTATATCCTAAACAAATTGATATTTGAAGCTGATTTCACAATGTAGTTTTACTTAATACTACTTGTAAAACAAATAGATTCAATATGATAATTGTATTGTAGTTTGTATTGACAATCATAATCGGTCTTATCTAGTTGCAACAGCTTTAGTTTTAGATGAACAAAAAGTAATATTTGAATAGATATTGCAAGGGCTGCTTAATACATCAGGAGGGTTGGCACCCAAAATCGTCTATATGGATGCAGATCTAGCTATAATAGCTGCAATTAAAAATGTATAAAATTGTACAAAACATCACTTCTGTTTGTTTCATATCTAGAAAAATCTTGAAAAACATTTTCTTTCCAAGTTTGGCAAGGAAAAATTTAAGGCTTTTTTTTCAAGCTTTTGTCAAGCACAAAATAGCACTACAAAAATTATTTTTGAACAAAGGTGGTAAAGAGTTCTGGATTGCTATCTGAAGTACAATCTTATCTAAATTATCAACTTTATCCTTACTGGAAAGCCTGGGTTCTCGCTTTTATACATCATTTTTTTAACTATAGTATACAATCAATACAAAGAGTTGAAGTTTACAATGCTATTCTTAAAAAGTCACTTAATAGAACAAGATCATTAATAGAAGTAGTAAATACAATTGAAAGATATCTAGCAAAAGAATCGCAATTTGTATGATTTAATGAACTAGTGGTGAACTTCCATGTGGTATGCTTATGTTATATCGAGATTTTTATTTTGTAGCAATCAATAGAGTTTGTACTAAATTTTTTATACCAGCAATGCTAAAATTGCAACATTATCAAATAGATCAATGTGTTTATTATCGAGCTTATTATATGAATTTAGAGGTTGAGCTACGGTGACAAGAACATATTATGAATGGTCATGAAATGGTATAACTTTTTACAGTGAATACCTCAGACATTGATTAGTTTTTTGTTCATACACTTTTGTGACTTAAGTAATTTATTTGGTTTGGTTATTAACTGTTCTGTTCATTGCTATTTTTATTTAGAATATACTGGATAGCATGTTTAGTGAAGACCTTTATGATAAAATGCTTATTAAACTAGCTAAACTTCTTCATGATATAAACCACACCAATGTCAAAGAATTATAGATAGTTTCACATATAGACTAGCAGAAGTTTCATTACGTTGTTCTTCTTGATGATGCAGTTCACTTATGCACATGTTTGACACTTGTCAATCATGGTATAATTTGCCATCATTTTTTTGCTATTTTGTTAGAAAGTAACTTAGCATAGTTTCATATTGGAATTATAGCTAAATGATGGTTTAATGATCAAATAATAGAAAAACATGAAGGGTTTGATAATGAACATGCAATATCAATTTGAAATGGGCAAGGTATTGATACATTCGAACATAAAGTTAGAGTTGATTTTTCTTATATTGATTTAATTTATGGTTAGTATGTTTTTACTTCCAAGATACAGCACCAATTGAAGAGTTAGGCTATTTATAGCAAAAGTTTTGGCTTGATGAAAAAAATATTAAATTTGGCAATTGAAACTGGACATGCTGAGAACTTATATAGGTTTCACTAGCAATTTATCAAAAAGATAGAAAAGCAACTTGCTGAAAAAGAAGGGCATGTTGTACAATCAAATGAAGAAAATGATTATTATAGAACAATCAGCAATCCTTTACAATTACAAATGAAATGAAGAAAGAGTCATAAGTGTATAGCATCATTTAATAATTCAGCAGGTACTTGGAAGAAAGTTCTTAAAGAGGCAACTAATATACAGCTTAATCCAAGGACAAACAGCTTCAATATAAGTAATGAGTTAACTGATTTAGATAATGTTAATGAACAGCAAATAAATATAATGGATCAGAGTTTTACAAAAGTAAATAATATATATGCTTAAATAACTTATAAGCAAAACCAAGAGCAAAAGCAGTATCAAGGGCAGAAGCAAGGTCAAGAGCAAGTGCAACATCAAAAGCAAGTGCAGTATCGAGAGCAAGTTCAGTACCAAGAGCAAGTGTCGCACCATGTACAGAAGCAAGAAAAAGAGCATGACCAAGATTTGTATATATATATTATTGGCTTTTGATTATTGATTATTATTTCTAATATATGTGATCGCTTTAGAAGTTGATAGTATGATAGTAAACAATAATGAAAACAAAAATTCTGTTACTCAAGGTATTATGTTTTTGTAGTATTTAATGTGGCAGATCATAATAAAATCAGATTAAAATGAAACTGAAGATCTTTCTTGCTCATCTTTAAGCTTATAAAACCTACTTATACTCTTTTATTAATAAAACTAACTCTAAACCCTAACTCTGACACAACCCTAACCCTAAAAAATATTTTTCAAAAAATTTTAAATTTTTCTAAAAAAATAGAAAAATTTTATTTTAATCTGATTTTATTTTAATCTATCACATTTAATACTACTTAATACTTTCTATTCTAATTTATTATATAACATATTCAGGAAAAAAAAATGATCTTACATATGTAAAAATTGTAACATTGCAAATCTTGTTGTCCTAATAATGCTTAAGAATATGATATTTACAATTGTTCATATAGATCTCATTTTATTAATAGCTATTTCACTCAATTAAGACTAGCTTGATTTAGAGTTAGTGCTGGTTAGAATTAAGAGATAGTTGGCAAAATAAGATAAATTTATAAATTGCTACTTTGTCTGATACATATATATGTATAATAGTATATTACCCGAAATTGATAATTCATGTCTGCATGAACTTTCTATATTAGATATGATGTATATGTATATGGCTTAATTTTTTACATGCTTATATTTTATTTGTATTATTATTATAATTCAAGGTATAATATGTAACAAATGATAAACAATTTGTATATTGCATCTTTGCTATGATATACAATTATGTATTCATAAATAAAAGTATGTTATTTATATAATCATATATATATTCAGTAAAAAAGAAGTATATTTGGCTTAGTATTATAATTAGTGCTATGAAAAGTGTTATATTAAATTATTATATGAATTTTTTATAAGTGATTATTACACCTATAGTGAAATTCACCTATGGTGAATTACATTATAGGTGTAATTTACTATAGGTGAATTTCAGCATAGGTGTAATTCACCATAGATGAATTTCAGCATAGATGCGTTTTAGTAAAAGTGTTAAATAATATTAAATATAAAAAAATATTTATTTTTATTTTAAGATATTTTTTATATACCCTATTTAATTTTGAGAGATAGAATTTAGTAACTGTGATATTTTATATTTGTTTAGATGTCTTTATATTTCTATTTTTATACCCTATATACTTTATATTGTATTAATTAAGCTGAGATATTTTGAGTTTTTATTTTATTTCTTTTTAACTTTATATATTTTGTTTTGAAATTTCCTTGTCTAGACATCTTTGTACCGGTATTCTTATATTTGATTTTATTCAATTATATTGAGAATTGAGGCTGGAATGCTTTGAGATTTTATGTTATTACCTTATTTATATTTTATATTCATGAATATATTTTCAATAACTAGTTATTTATTTACCTTTCTTCATTACTTTATTTCAATTTTAATTTTATTTATAATCAAGCTTTCATTTTTTTATATACTTTATATTTAATTTTTAATATTTTAGTTTTATTATTTTTTTTAATTTATATATTTTAGTATTTTATTTGCAGATTTATTTTTAATAACTCATTACTTTTTTCGATTATTTTTCAATTAAATCTCAATTTTTATTTATATTAACTTCAATATTTTATTTTATTTTTTCATTTATTAATACTCTGATCAAGTATTAATTTTATTTGTTATTGTATTTTAAACTTCTATATTTAATACCTTAAATTTTTATTTACAAAAACAAAATTCTAAGAAAATAGAAAAAACAATAACAAGAGCAACTATTCTATATATAAAAACATCTTATTCTCTTCTTCTTCTTCTATTTTCTTCTTCTTTGATTCTTTTTTCTTTATCTTCTTCTCTTCTTTTTCTTTTTTTTTCTTCTTCAAATACAAGTTAACAAAGAAGATTTCATAAAGCAATATCATAATATTTGAACCAAGTATAGTATCTATTCTGTTCTTTAATTAGATTTTGATACTCTTGGTCCTATAAAAAGAAATCTTGTAAATACTCAAAGGCTAAGCAGTTTAGCTTTTTGATAGTAGCATGTTGATTCTCTACTTATTGCTATAATTGTTTATAAGATATAACAATTAATAGATAAATTATTGATTAATTTATTTATTTTCTTTTGCTATTTATATTTACAACACATATTTATAAATATTAATATTATTATTTTTATTATTATTATTATTATAATAATAATAATTATTATTATTGTTATCATCATCACTACTACTATTGTAACTGTATTGAGAGTAATTGTAATTGGGAAAATGTCTTGACATAATTGAAGTAGAAAGAAGTTAGATGATAAAATTTTTTTTTACAAAATTTTTAGATGATATAATATATAGATTATCAGACATGATAACAAATATCAAAAATTATTACGTGAACAATTTGAAAATTAATACAATATCTTTATTAAAAAGTAAAAAAAAACTACAAAAATTATTGCTACTCTAAAATAAAACATAAGTTTCCTCTATCTTCTTCTTTCTTCTTCTTGGTCTCTTTTTTCTTTGTTCTCTCTTCTCTTTTCTTCTTCTTTTATTTTTTTCTTCTTTTTGTATCTTTTTTTCCTTTATTTTCTCTTCTTCTTCTTTCTTGCTTTACTATCACATTTTGACACAACTCACATAAGGCAATATCACTATTTTCAAACCATATATGGTATCTATTATACTCCTCAACCAAATGCTTATATTCCTGATCCTGGAAAAAAGTACTTTGAAATGACTCAATAGCTATTAGCTATATTTCATCAATAAGGAAGCACAAACTAGTGACTTGGTGTTGTAACCAATATTCACAAGAGCTATATAAATATTATTATTAGTATAGTTTTTTCTTTACTTTTTTTTTTTTTTCTTTTTCATTATATACTTACAAAAACTTTCCATTACTATTATTATTATTATTATTATTATTACTTCAACCATGACAATAGAAATTATGTTTTAAATAATTTTGATAATAATTGTGTTTGGTCATAGTTATAACAAGAAGAAAATTTATAGATAAAGTAAAAGTGTATGCAGTATAACATACAGCTCTCTTTATAATTTAAAGATTATAAAACATGAGATCAAATTGAACAATTTTATAAGACCTAATAGATAAAAATTAAGGTTCAAAAAGAGTACAAAAATAATTTTTATATATATACCTATTCTGTAATCTAGTAGTTAGAGTGAATAGCTTTTACAGGTCATGAGTTCAACTCTACTAGTAGTATGTTATACCCAGTGTACTGCAGTAATATTAATAGACTATAGTGATAAATATTTATATTTTATATTTTATATTTTATATTTTATATTTTATATTTTATATTTTATATTT